TTGTTACCCAGCTACTGCACCATTCGGATAATGCTGCCATCGCGGGGTTCTGATTGCACCTGCCGCCTCAGTCGTGATCAGCAGAGACTCTCTTCTATCTTTACACCGTCACACTCATGCCAAGCTTGGCAAGATTACCAAGGCTTTCCGTGGATGCGCTAGCGGCATATTTGTCTGCATTGTATGTGGGGATGGTTTATCACAAGTACGATTACTGCTTAGCATCAAATCTATTAGAGACATGTGACGGCAACACCGCATTTTTGTGTTTCGCATAGAGCTCCTTGCACTTGTCGTAGCATGGTTCTGCGTCTCAAGGGGCATTATTTCGAAGGTCGCAGGTCTCTTCCTTTGAGAACTGGGCGACAAAGTCGACAGAGTCGAACTCGGCATCTAGTAATTTGTATCGATGTCGTCGACCACGAAACTTCAAATAAACTATTGCAGTAATTTGGCATGGACTACTGCCTCAAACTAATCAAACACCCATCCTAGAACATTGAGTGATTCAGTTCGTATGAGTGACGGCAATTAGAGTTCCAGGTCAATCTGTCGTGTCATGGCCTACTTATCTGTAGTATCAGCCATGATGCTGTAGGGGATAGAAGCGGTTGTGTAAGTCAAGAAGCGGAGCGGCTTTAGCCTTGGAGTCATCAAATGGAACTTTTCTCACATCGTAGTATGATCAACGTTTATCTTAAGATGACGACTACAGTAGTTGACTATACAAGTTCTAGCGCCTTGGGGGGTGGGTCTTGGCAGTGCTACAGCGCTATTTGATCTGCTCCTAATGAGCCCATGGGTCTCAGGGTAACATGGACGTTTCAAATACGGTTCTGGATTTCCAATTGATTTATCGGGCCTTAAAGACCCATTGACAATCATCGGAAGTTGCTGAACGGCATACGCGGCTTTGTTCTCATGTCGACTACCGACGGTGATTCGTCAGCCAGCACCGCTGATGGCGCGCGGAATGGAGCAGCTGACGAACCAGGCAACTCAAACGCTGTTGATGGGGGATTCTCAACACCATGTTTCCTCTCTTGCTGGTACGTCGGCTGTTCCAGATAGTGATAGTGGTGGTGATTGTGATCATGGTTATGATAGTGATGGATGACAACAATCCGCTCTTTCTTCCGAGAGCGGCATCGCCTGCAGATGCCACTGGGAGGTTCTAAGCCAGGTTGAAGTGGATGTTTTCGGTGATAAGATTCAGACCGCGCCCTGTGGCATACGGCACAGCTGTGGTGCAACGATATGTTTCCGGCTGCTTCGGTATACAAGTAAGCGTGGAGTAAATTTGGCTCTGTAGTCATTGTAGAAAGGCCACTTATATAGGCGTCACAAGTGGGTTTTCGCATTACTGAATCGTCCATGAGCAACCGTGGTGGATATCCTGAAGCGTGCCATAGGCTAAGTCTGATGACATAAGGCATGGCTTGAGAGGAATCTACTAGATCACGATTGACTAAGTAATTCAGCTGAACTCACGTAAATAGACACGAGCTAAAGCATGAGGGATAGTGAGCAACAACATACTTAAACGTCTGAGTGTCGTCTACACCAACTGCAATAGGGTCCAGTAATTATTGCAATGGAACAAAGATCTCCCCTTCATCCTCTGCGAGTACTCTTAATCATTACTGCAAGTCTTTACATTCTTGATGGTGTTGTACATCTTGTCCTGCCCATCATGCAACTGGTGACAATCTTCGCCTTAGTATTGGTGTTGGCAAAGCCGGAAAACAGCAATGACTTATTTCAATTAGCATCGTTTTCAGAACCACTCCGACGACTACTATCGGTGTTCGCTCCCTTCGCCTCGTTCCGGGATATGAAAGAGTTCGTCATTACCTTCTTTCGCCAGCGAGCCAATGTACAGCTACTGCAGATGCGAGACACTACACCTCCTGGTAACCTTGACCCAGTACCTACGTAGCTTAGCAGATATGTAACAATACCAAAATATTTAATAGATACGTTCCAGGTTCAAATCAAAGTCAATTAGGGTTGATTGAGCGCCACGCCTTGTCTTCCAAGTGATCAATGAGCGCAGTAGCTAGCAGTGGCCTCTGGTAGACTGTCCGATCATCCCAAGTGAAGAAACCTGTTATTCAGCTATTGCTTCGCACGTGAGCCAAGTATAATCTCAGCTTCAAAGCCGCACTGTATGCTTTCTCCTGTCCTACGTCCTATGCTTTTCACGTCCAATGCTAAAGCGAACAAGCATTTCTAGTTAGACAAGAACGCTGACATCCTAAACTCTATGCCTTTTTCCTATCAATAACAAGTAGTAATATGGCGCGACATGGGATGTGTTGCTTGATACGCCAGTTTGCTACGTGGCACCCTCCCGTCTCCGTAGCACTCTTCCAACACACGGCAAAGAGTACATCGTGAGCATGTCACTCGGGATTTCTCCCCTACTGCCTCGAAATAATTGAACAGAGAATTGCAAGCAAGTGATGGTACGACTCTCCATGAAACCATTTTCTACACCAGAATCGATCTCACCAGCTCGTCTGATGGTTAATGCGCTTGGTTCTGGCTCATGTAAAGCTGATATAAAAATCGTTGTCGAAAACCTTCATCCTATTAGCGTCCTAGATCAGTTCTTGAAGTATGTACATGCTCAGCAACATTACTATACGACTCAAACATATAGAATAGGTGAAGAACGAGATCGTGCGAACGACATGATGACGCGTCTGATCAGATCCTTCATACTAATTAGTCAACATCGAGGAGAAAGGGAAAGTTGTTCAATGGTGTGATCAGTTAAAACAAAGGCGTTTTTCCGCTTTGTGTATGTCATCATGGTTGCCACTTTCTGTCGTTTGACAGGCTTCATTGCTTACTCTAGCACATTCAGACTTCCGGTTCGTCATTATGAATCACGTCAGAAAACGTGACTGGAACTCTCTGGACTTTTCATGCACAGGATCGAGCGATGGGTCGTGACAACCGCTTACACCATTCTTGTGATGGATAGCCTGGGGTTTCTTCCGTTTGGCCTTCGGCTTACTCTTCTCAAGTCTACATAATGCTCAACGGCTACGATGTTATCTGTATGGAGCCATGACTATATGTAGTTCTTCAAACACCGCGACATCAGCTGCAAGTGGGTTTTCTCAACTTTGGGTCCTGAAATTGCTCCCGAAACTCAAATGCCAAGACAGTAGCGTGTTCCAGTCGAGTGGCTTATGCGCCCAATTTTGCGATCCTTGGGCCTTCGCCATTTTGCAACAATCCCAGTGCTGGTGTTCCAATGAGTCTCCCATCTCGGGACTAACGGAGGCATCGTCATGCGACTCCCCATGTCCCGGGTACCCGTATGAGACTTGTGGGGGCAAAGGTCTTTTCAGCTACGTAGCGCTTCACAGAGTCGTGTCGCCCGATGATAGTATCACCTCAATGGCCAGTATTCCGAGGCAAACTTCGGTGGAGACGTTGTATGAGACCCGAGTTACTGAAGACACACTCATCAAGACAGTAACACAGACGGTCACCGTCACCA